CCTCATATGTTTTCCCAGTCAGGCCATTATAGTAACATTGAAAGTGGTTTCCAAACTTTCATTTTCTTCTCCTCCAATGTATCATACGTAATGTTGTGAGATACAGCATTCTGAAATAGTATTTTGCATGGTCTTCTTTCAGAAACACTTGTTTACTATTTACAGAATAAAAGCAGTGTCCTATTTATCTTTCTACCACTTTCAGTCTGTATTATCTAACCTGAAACTTACCTTCTATTACTTGAACACAGAATATGCATTCCAGACAGGGTAGTCTTTGTTTATACTGTGTCTGTTACCTTACTTGTCTCTCCCTGCCTTTCTTGCTTATTCTAAGTATAGTCCTTCCAGACATACCACCATTATTTTCCAGTTTTTTTTTTTTTACATTCATACTTTGTTGAAGTGTTCCAGCTCACTATGATCTCATCCTCCTCTGTATGCTGTATAGCACCTACAATCTGCATTCCTCTTTGAAATATATATGCCTTATTTATGTACTAGAGTGCATATCCTTTCCTCTAACTTCTTAAAGGTGGAGACTGTGAGGTATACTTCTTTATTATTGCAGCACATATGAAAATGTTGAGTATCAATTTCATTGATGACTAAGATCTGGATTCTAGGATTCTACATTTGTTATGAATTTGTCATTACTAACAAGATATCACATGATGATGTAGTCATTGTAACCTTTGAATCATGAACACTATTCCTTCGACAAACAACATATGTTTGTGATAGTACAGATTTAAAATTTCATTTTTTCTTCCCCTCAACACCATAACTAGAGTGAAAGAAATCTGCCTTAAAAGAGACATTATCCAGTGACGTAAATCTGACTAAATGAGTTGTAGTAGACTCTCTAGAATTCAGAAATTCTAATGTGGTAAACTTAGCTTTAGGGTATTTATGATATAGTGACTGGTTATGAAACTGTATTATTCATTGTCAGTATCATTATACCTTTATTAAATGCAACTTCTGTACTAGATCCTAGCCATAGGACAATATGTAATAAGAACAGCTATGCATAAAATCAGTAGTGCTACACAGTCGCTGAGAATTTCTGTTTCAGATAGTTGCATCAACAAGTATTGTAGGTGTAGAGATTTGAAGTGACTTCCAAAGGAAAGGCAGTTTTTGAGCAAATTTCTGAAAGAAGGGAGGACATTCTAAGTGAAGTATTTCATGCACGTGGTTAAGAATGGACATAGTATGTTCATGAAACAGACTCTTTGAGTGTGGTATTTTTTATAAAGACATAGATTATGTAAGTTGTGGTTAAGGTATGGAGGATTTTGACTTTTATTCTTCCTGTTATGTAGGTAGTGGGGAACATTTTTGGATTTTAGAACAGAGGCTGGAATCTACAAATTGGTTATTGGGAAATGAAATCTGAAAAAGTAGAGTAATATGGAGTACAGAGTTCGAAGGCAAATTGAATTCATGCTCTTTGACTCCCCATTACTTTATCACATTATATTTTTTAATTTTTTCTTAATTACATTGTAGTATTCAATACTTGTATTATGTTAAAAGTTTTCAGATTGTAGTACTGTTCAAATTTAACCCTCTTAAAACATAATATTTTAACGAAAACAATGTTATGTGCTTCTCGTTTATAAAAAAGAACTGCAAAAGAGTACCTTGCACTCATCTGATTTGCACACAGGTAGGTAGGCTAGGCCGGAGATGATCACTGTTACTGCTTTGTGATTTTTTTCTTCTGTTGTTTTTTAAAAATAGCTCTAAATGTTATTCTTATAACAACATTTTATACAGTAAACTTATCTTTACATTCTTGTTATGATAGATGAAGATTTAATCTCACCTTTCATTGCTTTTTTTTTCTTCTTTTGTTTATCATTATAACACTAAATAACATCTTTGTTTTTTTGTTCATTATCTATAGATGATGTTTTTTGATTCCCTCATTTGTGATATGAAGATTAGCATGCATATTCTTCCCCATCACCTCTTCTTCTTCTCTTTTACCTACCAAATTCTGTTGGCTATCCTTCTATACTGTCATAGTTTATATTATGTACATTCCATACTGTAACCATAATTATTACATCTGTGTTCTGTGTATAGGTTGATTTAGAAAGTTAAAAGGGAATAAACAGCACTTACATTATTATTTCTGCATAAACAGCATCAGTGGCAAAGTAGTAGGTTATTATGATTCCTTTTCTATAGCGCCATTGTTTATAACCCCTGGCCTGCACAAAATATTATATTTAAATAATCTTTCTAATCAGTTGATCAAAATTATGATACGTTTTAATAAGCTGCATATTTGGACTTTGTCTCTTATTTTTTTTTTTTTTAATTTTTCCTGTTGTGGGAATAAATACGGTTTTCTTACTATAGATTTAATATGTTCTAGCTCTTTCTGATTCTAATGATTATCCTTAGAATCTGTTCTTTTCATCTTGAAGTCTAAAATTCCTGTTGTAGTTTGTATTGGTTGCATCATAGCTTCACAGACTACAGCTTCTTTATATCTTCTCCCTGTGCTACCTCACTGCATTTCTAGTTGCCCTTTTTCCTCTCTTATAGTGCTCTGTCATAGTATTAAGTTTTCTTAGTTTTTCATTCATAATACCTTTTCTATCAATTATATTTTAAGCTAATTTTCTAAGAATGTGGGGGTAAATTTCAGATTGCTTGCATTTCCGTGAACATGTTTATTTCAAACTTATTTATTTGTCTCAACGTGCAATTCTAAATAGAAAATAATATTCTGAAGAAATTCTTCTATTTGCCGGTATCTGGTGTTGCTAAAGATCAATCCATTCCCAATCTCATTGCTTGCCCTTGTTGAGGAAATTTTTTTCTCTGAAAACTTTTAGGATCTTCTTTTTATCCATGCGTTTTGGTATATCCTGGTATCTCTCCAGGTTGTTCTTTTCTCATTTCTCTTGTTCAGAACTGGGAAATGATTTTAATTTGAAGATTTAATCTCCTTTAATTGTATTGTTTACAGAAATACCATTTTCTCTGTTTCATCTCTCTTCTATTTCTGTGACGCCTGTTTGAAAAAGGACTTACTGGATTATATCTCTAGGTCTTTCTCCTTCCCTCATATGTCGTTTTTGTTCTGTGAATTTTATTCAACTCTGTTGTCTAATATTGGTGTTTTATTTGAGCAGTCATATTTGAAATCTGTATAAGTGCTCTCTCTTTTACTATCTTTGTTCCTTTTTTATATGATATATATATATATATTTTTTTCTTCTGTGAATACCGCTGAATAAAGCAGTCTGCATGTTTTCACTGGGTATGTCGACAATACAAAGGCCTGACTAGACCTGGGCAGATTCTAGGGGTTGGGTGTGCAGTGACAAGCCTTAAAGAATATGATGACTCCCACTGAATAAAGCATCATCTTGTTATCACTTACCATAAAAACAGTAATTTCCTTAAACCTAGTGTTTCTCTCCTGTAACAGTCACCTGCATGTACAGGAGTCCATGAAGAACTCTTTGTGTTACCCTTTGAGACTTGGGGGATAGGGGACTGATGCAAATGAAAATGAACTAATAAAGTCCCTTGTCTCTGACCCAGGAGTCTCATGTCTTCTGCAAGCATCCATGAAATAGTAACAGGCTAGCTTGTTAGCTTGCATTATATATGTGGTAAAATCTCAGACCCTGCACAGTTCTTGACAAATATCTTTTTTAACAGAATTTTTCTAAGTATGTTAGTTATAGTTCCACTTTCTTTATAATGTTTACTGATTGTTCTTTTAGAGTCCTTTTGTTTTGAGAAGTTTTTAAGAAATCACATAAGGTTTTCCTCAAATACATGATTTTTTTGGGGGGCAGTGGGTGAAGGCTAACATTGGGACTGGTTGGGGAGGGTGCAGAAGTTTGGTCTACTACTGAGTATTAAGAAGTTTAATTAAGACATCTATTTTTAGCTTCTTGTTTTTTTTTTTTAATCTCCAGACTCTGCTGCTTCGGAATCTGATGTTTTCCTAGCTTCTTATTGCACTGTAATCTCCTTTGAGAGTCTAATTTCCTCTCAGAACTTTTCACCAGCTTTCTGTTTTTCAGATGTTTGTGGAAATCTTTCTGCTGCTGACTCTGCTCCAAGTCCTTTTGTTATTGTTAGATTGTACCTTTTTATTTACTTTCATTTTGGGGAGGGGAAGGAGATAAACTCCAGAGAATAGTCAACCATACTGAAGAAGCAATTTTTTTTTTAAAAAATGTTTTAGCACTAACTTGTTGCTTCTTATTTCTATTACCATATTTACATCCTCCTATAAATGCCACTTTTCTGTTTCTATTCTCTTCCTACATCTAAATATAAAGTTTTATCATCTGGAAAATTAGGAAAATATCTAATAAAAATGTGTTCAAAATAGAAGCAAATATCATCTTAGAGAAGGAATGTTTGTGGCAACTGGTTTAGCTACAAAGAGAAATCTTTGCTTCCTGTTGGTTTGAATGTAAATGCATTTTTAGATAAATGGAATGAATAAGGTGCAGTATAACTATTTTCAATTTTAAAACTACTTAGGAATTTTGTTTTTCTGTTAAACTAAGTTGCAAATATTCTTAAAAATTGGTCTTTGCATTTTACTAAACATTATTGGTAGATATATGTGTATAGGGAATGCTGCAAAATGTTTTTATTCCCTAGAGTAAGAGTTGGCAAAATTTTTATTTCAAGGGCTAGGCTTTGTGGTACATGTAGTTGCTGTGTTGTTGTTACAACTTTGCCCTTATAGTACATAAGCAATATGTAAATGAATAAATGTGGCTGTGTTGCAATAAAACTGTATTTATGAACATCAGAATTTGAATTTTATGTAATTTTCACGTCAGGATACTTTTTAAAAAAAAAATACATTTTAAAAACTATGCTTTGATTGCAGTCTATACGAAAACTGGCCAGTGCTTGTCCTCGGCTTGTCTGTTTTAATAACTACTTTGTAGATGCTTCAGTACTGATGTGTTTCTACTATGACCCATTGTTCTTATCAGGCAAGCTAATGAAGAATATCAAATACTGGCAAACTCCTGGCGCTATTCATCTGCTTTTTGTAACAAGCTCTTCTTCAGTATGGTGGACTATGATGAGGGGACAGACGTTTTTCAGCAGGTAAAAGAGTTATATCCTATTCATATATTTAACATAGTTGTTTGTGGTCGATACATTTTTGTCTGGCACATAAAAATAAAATTTATTCATCGCCTGAACCCAGGAGGCGGAGGTTGCAGTGAGCCGAGATTGTGCCACTGCATTCCAGTGGGGGATAGAGCAAGACTTTTTCTCACACACAGACATGCACACAGACACACACACACACACACACAAAAAAAATACAATTCATTCAATACGTTAATAAATACGATAAGTATTTATAATAAATTTTGTGATGTGATTAACATAATTATGGCTAAACTGATTTTTATAATTGTACAGGTATTTGCCATTATGATAAATTCATTTTAACTTTTGCATCATACAGGAAATGTGTTTTTTCAGCATGCAGTGGCAGTTTACATGCATTAGTCTTATTTTGGTATTTAATTATAGGTGGTAGTATATTATAGATAGTATTTTGCACAGATTTGTGACATTTTATATAAAATTCATTGCAAATTTTACTTAACTGTTGTTTTTTCCAATGGGGCAGAATTTTACATATAGAGGATTAGATATTTATTTACAAGTATTTTCTCTCTGTTATGGATTGAATTGTATACCCCCAAATTCATAAGTTGAAGCCATAGCTTCTGGCGTGACTGTATTTGAAGATAGGGCCTTGAAGGAAGTAATTAAGGTTAAATGAAATCATAAAGGTGGAACCCTAGTCCAAAGGGACTGGTGTCCATAAGAGACGAGGAACCAGGAGCAGGAGTGCATGTGCACAGAGAAAAGGGCCGTGTTAGAACACAGTGAGAAGATGGCCACAGGCCAGGAGGAGGAGCCTCACCCAAAACCAACTCTGCTGGCACTTTCCTCTTGGACTTTGAGTCTTCAGAACTGTGAAAAATAAATTTCTGTTAAGTCACCTACTCTGGAATTTTCTGTTATAGCAGCCCAAGCAAACTAATCAGCGTATTGACCCAGTCTTCTCGCTAGAGCAAGGTGTTGGACTTGAGACTGGAATTCTCATTGTCATCGATGTTGTCATGCTTGTAACATCATCATTGTTGACATCGAGAGCTTATGTCCAGGCACTGTTCTAAGGGCCTCTTACTTACTATTTCATCTGGCTTCACAGTGAGAGAAGTGTTGTTACTGGCTCCATTTCATAGGTGAGGAAATAAGGAGTGAAGAGATGGTTGCTTGTCCAAGGTCACCAAGTTAGCGTAATGTGTAACTAGAATTTGAACTCAACTGTCTGGCTTCCAGAGCCCTAGCCCTTAATCATGCTATTACCCTGCAGTTTATTATTTATTTTTTAACATGTTTTTACTGTGCGATCAATCCATTTAAAATGCAAAACTTACTGCCATCCCGGGGTTAATCTTTTCAGGTATCTTGGCCTATTTAATTTTTGTCACATGTGATACTCTTTGGCATAATGCTTACCAGGTCATGGAAAAGCATGCAGTTCTGTGAAGAATCTAGCCTACTAATTGTAAATCACCATTAGTGAACATTTGTACTTATTTGCATCCAGATCATTTGTTCTTGCCAGTTTCTAGTTAAATAAAATAAATTCTCTCTTTTTGCCTTCAGCACTTCTTCTGTTAGTATTCTTCACTTATTTCTTCTAAATTTATTTTGCCTTTTTAGGTTGTTTCTTTATATTCATCCCTTAAGCAAATAGTTTTGCTCCTATAGTACCTATTCTATAGGAGCAATAAATTTGGCAAGAAAAACATACATAGTTCTCCTCTATGAGCAGCTTACAGATTAGGAAGCTAATAATAATAGTATCATAATAAAACATATAAATATGTAATTTCAAATAAACTTATAAGGAATAATTACAATACTATAAGAACCAAATATTATTTCATGTAAATGATAGATCTCTATAGAATCTCAGGGTAATTGGCCTTAGAGCTCATTAGATAGAAGTGCTATTCAGTATATACTTGAATCTTCTGTCATATTGGCAAACAGTCTTCTAGGTCCAACAAGACTGCTAGAGCACGGTCTTGAAGCCCATGACTAGACCTGTGGACTAAATGAAGACAGTGAGTTGGGTTAGTTTAGTTTCGTTGTATCTTTGTTGTGCTATTTTTGTTGATAATATGTTGTCTTTGTTTTGTTGTGATACCTAACATACTAAGTACATACTTAGCATATTAAACATCTTATTTACTTTTACAAATATGCTTTCTCCTACTTTTATTAAAACAATGCCTTTATTGGTATGTCTTTTTAAAAATCCTTAACAGAAACACTCATTTTTCACTTTTTAAAAGTACTTTTATTTCTTAACTACTGTAAGAAACCAAAGTGCCAAAACACCGTGTATCTGATCCTTGGTGTCATTGTTGAGGAAGCAGTATGGTGTGGGTGGGGACTACAGCAGATTGGAAAGGGGATGTGCTTGACCTCAGTGGGAGAGGCGCAGCTCAGCATCAGCTTTGTAGAAGCATCAGCTTTGTAGGCCACATGTATGCAGGCCACATGTAGCTAGATCTCTTTCGAGAAAAGACCTAAATAATAATTTTTATATGAAATTTCTCTCTTTAAAATGTTGGCAGTTAATTCATATTTTTTTAAAAAAAAACTTTATGGGATATTGTTATCTTTGTGTTGAGTACTGAATGTAGGCTGCTGGTATATAATAATATAAATAAATGGTTATATATAATCATTAAATTCTTTTGTTTGCCTTAGACATAATTATTCTAAAGTTTGGCCTATAAGAGTTGAAGTCTGTTGTTTTTAATTGAAACATTTCCTCAGGTTAATTTTGATTCAGCAGGAATCCTGCTATAGAACTGCCTTGTCTTTCCCAAAATCTAGCCCTTGGCTTAGCAACAAGAGTTCTCAATTTAAAATGCAGAAATGCGTAAAAGTTATAGCAGTTAATGAGTTTTATGAGGAATTTTAATCTACAACAATGGAGAAGTATATGTTTTGCTTCACTTGAGAAACACTAAAATATTTTTAATGCTTATTTTTTTCCAACTATTAAATCATATTTTGCTGAAGTACTGTCTCTGAATTGATGTTTTAAAGCACTGTCAGCAGTAATGTGGTGTCTGAAGATAATATTAATAACAAGTGCAGAAACTTGGTAATTTCTAGCTCTTTGGGGACTTACTGGGAAAGTAGCTTCAATTATATGTGATTCCCATAGGAATGGCTGAGGCTAGGTGTCTGATGACAGGCCAGTGGGTTAATGAACATGGTGTGTTGGAAGGAGCGCTCAGCTAGGAAATAGGTCTATGTTGTGCTCTGCTGTGGGTAGCCTTGGGGAATTGGGTATTTTAATTAAGCAAAAGGACTGAATTGTATGAGTTTTTAAGAACCTCTGAAGTTTTAGCACATTAGGCCTTAGTATGGATTTTCTGATAGTTTTCATGTGGGGAGTGAGGAAGATGGGGACTTTCAGCTTTATAATTTTGTATTTACAAGGTTTCTGTAGATGTCTCTTGTGTGTCCATGAGAGAAACAAACATGAACAAAGTATGGAATGGGAGAAGCACAGGAAAGAAAGAAGGAACTGGTAACTGTGTGCTTTGTTCAGTTTAATGAACGTCCATTACATGGAAGCCCACTGCTGGGAGAATGGAGTGAGATAGACTCCTGATGTACAGGGCCATGTAACACTTATTATATACATTAGAGACATATTATTTTTATTTACTTATTTATTTTTGAGACAGAGTCTTGCTCTGTCACCCATGCTGGAGTGCAGTGGCGCGATCTCGGCTTACTGCAGGCTCTGCCTCCCGGGTTCATGCCATTCTCCTGCCTCAGCCTCCTGAGGAGCTGGGACTACAGGTGCCCGCCACCACGCCCGGCTAATTTTTTGTATATTTAATAGAGACGGGGTTTCACTGTGTTAGCCAGGATAGTCTCAATCTCCAGACCTTATTTTTTTCCAACTGACTATTAAATCATATTTTTATATGATATAATTTATATATGATACAACTTATATATAATTTATGTATGATATAATTTATATATGATATAATTTTTATATATAATTTATATATAATAGGCTCCTCGGCCTCCCAAAGTGCTAGGATTACAGGCGTGAGCCACCGCACCCGGCCCCTATATACATTAGAGACATATTTTTATATATGTTACATACGCATGTTATATGTTATAATCTGTATGATGTTTATACTGTATTGCAGGAGCTTGTGTTTTCAAATCAGTCTTCTAATGAACTTATTAAAAAGGGTTTATGAAAAAAATATTGTTAAAGCCTGGCAAACATGGTGAGAGCCCTGTCTATACTAAAAATGCAAAAATTATCCAGGCGTACTGGTGCATGTCTGTAATCCCAGCTATTGGGGAGGTTGAGGCAGGAGAGTGGCTTGAACCCAGGAGGTTGCAGTGAGCTGAGATCATGCCATTGCACTCCAGGCTGGGTGACACAGCAAGACTCCATCTCAAAAAAAAGTTTTCATTAAATGGAGGTAGAGTTCAGAAGGTATTATGATACCCTGGTAATGAAGTGTCTAGAGTCAGAAAACCTGAGTTCATCTTCCAGCTTTACTTCTTCATTGCTGTATGACCTTTGGTAAATCACTTTATTTTTATATGCCTCTACTCATCTGTAAGAGAGGGAAAATAATATTACCTTTCTCATAAGACTATTGCGAAGACGAAAATAAGATGTTAGCATTAGAGTAGGTAGCTACGCAGACATGAGCAGGGCAGGAGAGGGTCCCTCACCCCCAGGATGTCAGGTGACCATCATTTGATGATCAGGTGATTGTTAAACTGTCTTGCTAAAATAATAATTGGTTGCAGCTGGCTGCTAGGAACGGCAATCTCCCAGTAGATAGAAAACACCTGAAGATGGTGATCAGCAGCTTCTTGATGAGATCTTAGGACTTAAGCAGGCTCAAGCATGCGCACTAAGAGACAAAATGGTGGCGTTTAACTGTTATATGACCTGCCTCTGGGAGCACTCGACTAGTAAGGGAAAAATGCCTCAAATGAGCATGCGCACAACTTCAGTAAACACACTGCATACGGCCCCTCCCAAGTGCTGGCAAGCCACTGTGCAGGCACATAGCCCACCCAAAAGGAAAAGTCAAGGGAGAAGAGACAAACCCTGGGGTTATGCCGTGTGTGAAACCCCAAGTCAAAGGCCAAACAGTGCACTTTGATGTCCTGAAGTTGCCCACCTGACCTTCTTCCAAGTGCGCTTCTTTCTATTCCTGCACCAAAGCTTTTAAATAAACATTCACTCCTGCTCTGAAACTTGCCTCAGCCTCTCACTCTGCTTTATAACCCTCGGATTCCTTTGAGGAGGCAAGAATTAAGTTGCTGCAGACCCCTACGGATTCACCACTGCTAACACTAATATATGTAGCTGTTTAGCTCTGTGCCTGATGCATAAATATATGCTAAATAGTTCTTATTACTGTTACATAACATTAGCAATAATACTGGTGTGTAGCGTTCCCCCTTCCTAAAACCACCTTATTTTTGCATAAGTTGGTTAATTCTAAATTCTATAGAAATAATTAAAAGTTGTGGTAAAGGAATGAAGAGAAAGGAAAGAAACGATGAAAAGATTACCTTGGAATCCCTTTGGAAGGGCTAACTGCTTAAGCATTGTCTTAGTTCATTTTGTTCTGCTACAACAGAATACCTTAGACTGGCTAATTTATTCAACAGGAGTTTGTGGGGAGGGCAGAGGCAGAGTATGATGGTTTGAATGTTTTGCATTCAAACAATGAGTAAACAACATTCAAACCATTGTATTCTGCCCCTAGCCCCACCAAACTCATGTCTTTCTCACACTCAAAATACATGGATTTTGTCCCAATACTGTCAAAAGTCTGAACTCATTCTAGCAGCAACTCAAAATTCCAAAGTCCCAAGTCTTAACAAAATCGGATACAGATGAGACTCAGGACATGATTCATCCTGAGGCAGATTCCCCTCCAGCTGTGTATCTGAAATCAAACAAATTACCTACTTCGAAAACAAAATGGCAGAGCAGGCATCGAATAGACATTCCCTTCCTAAAGGGAGAAATAGGCAAGAAAAAAAAAAGGGGTAACTGGCTCCAAATAAGCCCAAAACCCGATTGAGAAAACGCTATTAAATCTTAAAGCGATTAATTTTTTTTCATTCCACCTGCCATCATCTGGGCACACTGGGGCAAAGGTTGAGCCCTCAAGGCCTTGGGAAGCCCCACCCCTATAGCTTTGCCAGGCCCAAGCCCACACGGCAGTTCTCCCAGGCTGGTGTTGCATGCTCGTGGCTCTATAGTTTGGGGTTTCAGCAGAGTCCCTGCTGCCGTAGATCCACTAAGGGGGATTTTTTACAATGGCTCTGCCTCTGCAGCAGGTCTCTACCAGGGCTCTTGGGCTGTCCGCAAAGTCCTTTGAAATCTAGGTGAAGGAAGACGTACCTCCTCAGCTCTTACATTCTGGGCACCTGCAGAGCTAGCCCTTTATGGATGCTGCCAAGGCTCATGGCTTGCACCCTCCAGAGTACTGGGTTGAGCAACACTTGGGCCTACTTGATCCATGGTGAGGGCAGCTGAGGAGCACTATACTAGAATGCAGGGAGTGGACACTTCAAGTGGCCCTGAACAGTGAGATTTGAGGCCCCGTAGATACCCCAGGTCTTCCCCTGAAGAGCTCTGAAATGCCTTCAGGGTCTTTGTCCCATTGTCTTGATGAGTAATACCTGGCTTCCTTTCCATTTCTGCTAATCTCGTTATAAATAGTCCCTAGGCCACATTCTTGATACTCTCTCCTGAACATGTTTTTTATTGTTTACATACCCAGACTGGGAGTTTTCCAAATCTTTATGTTTTGCTTCCCTTTTAATTATGAAGTATGTCTTTAAATCGTTTTTGTCTTCTTGTATTTTATATGCATTTGAAATAAGCCATACTGCATCCAGAATGTTTTGCTGCTTAGATATCTCTTCTGCCAAATATGCTCCTTCATTGTTGTTAAGTTCTGCGTTCCATGAAGTCCTAGGACACAGACACACTTCAGCTCAGGTCTTTGCAGTTTGTAACAAGTATGGTCTTTTTTTCCAGATTTCAATACCTGTTTCTCATTTCCATCTGAGACCTCATCAGAATGTCTTTTACTGTCCGTATTTCTTACCAGCATTCTGATCGTAACCGCTTAAATCTCTGAGATGTTGTAGACGTTCTCTGCAGCTCCCCTCTTCTTCTGAGCCCTCTCCAGAATCACCCTTAGTGCTCCATTTATGGCAACCTAGGCTTTTTCTAGTATGCTTCTCCAGATTCTTTCAGTCTCTACCCATTATCCGGTTCCAAAACCATTTTCACCGATTCAGGTATTTGTTGTAGCAGCATCCAGTGCCTCTGAGACCAGTGTTTGTCCTAGTCCATTTTGGGCTGCTATAACGGAATAGCTGAGACTGGATAATTGTAATGAACAGAAATTTATTTCCCATAGTGCTAGAGGCTGAAAGTCCAATATTTAACTACCAGCATCTTGGAAGGCACTTCTTGCTGCATCATCACATGGCAGGAGGTGAAAGTGTGAGACAGAGTCAAGAGGACGCTCAACTTGCACTTTTATAGTAGCACTAATCCCACCCATGAGAGTGGAGCCCTCATAGCTTAATCACCTCTTAAAGTTCCCACATCTTAATATTGCTACAATGGCAATTAGATTTCAACATGAGTTTTGGCGGGGACAAACATTCAAACCATAGCAAACATGGACCAACTATTAATCTTTAGCAGTAGTATTTGAAGAGTACTAATGTAGATAACATGGAGGTAAATAATGGAAATTTGATTGCATTTGCAGTACTAAAAATGAGAAATTTTTGATATAGAGCCATTTATTTTGGGTGTTCAGCTTGTTTGTGCTAAGTTGTGTGAAGCTCTATAAAATGATTTGGAGCTGTTTTGTAAATACGACTGCTGTAGCCACAGTTCATTTGTAGGGCAAGACTGTTTTGGTCTTGACTATATCCTTGGTTATTAAATTTCGTTGTTATGGGGAGCTAAGCTTTTACTGTTGTATCGTTTGCTTGATGTCAACTGTGATCTTATATATATATATATATATTCATTTTTGTTTTCATTATTAGAAAATACTGAACTATGTTGCAAGTCAAGGGCTGAAAAATCTCTTGGCCTTTCATTTTAAAACCTTTTTTTGGTAATTCCTGGGCAACAGAAATTTTATTTGTATATATATATTTGTAGTTTATTCCTTACTGCAAATTAACCTGATATATGTTTTTAGATATTTATTACATTGTTTAAAAAGCACCATTTATATTAGGGTAGTGTTCTGTTTAGTATACTTTTCGAATAGAAATTACTTGTAGAAAATATTTCTGAAATATAACCAATTTAAGACAGTTGAGTTAATAGACAAGTTGAGCAGATGAAGAGTGTTCTTGAGGATATCTTCTTCATTCTCTGGTAAATTTAACTTGTTTAGAGCAGAAATGTTGGTTTCTCTTTCATAGCCATCATTACACAAAAAGTAAAGTCTTTTACATTTGTAATAGGGAATTCAATCTACTTGTAGTTTGTTGGAAATTAATTCCATAATATGCTTATTTTTTAAAAACGAATTCCAGTACTTTTTAAAAATAACTGCTTAGGAAGTGAAATAATTCATGTAATACCAAATTGCTGTATTTCTACTTTGCACTTTCAGTCACTTTTTTTACCCTAATTATAGAATTCAAGAAAGGAAAAAGAATGAAATGACTTATAAAATATAGAGAATATAATGCATGGTATGAATGATGTATGTTAAATGTGAAGATTCAGATAACTTAGTCAAATTTACAAGTTCTTTTTCATCCACTAGTGAATTAAGATAAATAAGAACAGAAATTTACCTCTGGAAAACCACTTGGATTTTCATAATAAATGCTGTTTTCCCGAAATTTCTACAGAAAAAGTGTAAAATGTTGGATTAATGATCTATAATGTGGGGATGATACTATATTTAGTATTTTTTTCCTCATGTTTTACAGCTCAACATGAACTCTGCTCCTACATTCATGCATTTTCCTCCAAAAGGCAGACCCAAGAGAGCTGATACTTTTGACCTCCAAAGAATTGGATTTGCAGCTGAACAACTAGCAAAGTGGATTGCTGACAGAACGGATGTTCATGTATGTTTTTATTCCCTACAGTTTTAATAATCGGCTGGTTAGTTAGTTTGTTTGGAACATTTTAATAAGGCTACACTAATATTTTTAAATTTCTCTATCATTATTTCTCCTTGCATAGAGAAAACTCTGTTCAATCACTGCAAATGATAAGTTGAACTTGGACTGTTAGGTGAATTCAGATGGTTTTTAAAATAATGGTTCATTGATATTTTAAAAGCCATTAAAAAGTACAGGAGTTAAGCACAAGGTAATTTCAGAGGCTAAAAAACATTTGAAACATTTCAGTGGTAGTAATCAAGGAAATTCTAATTAAAAAGCGAGATATATAATTTTCATCTATCTTTTGGGCAAAGAGAAAAGGTTGATAGCCACCTTAAAGCTATGTGGAAAAATATCTACTCAGATTTACTGCTTTGGAGACTGTAAATTGGTGTAACCGTACTAATAGCATGTGTCATGTCTTTATGTAATGTAGCTCAACAATTCCACCTCTACGAATTTAACCTAAGGATGCTATCAAGGATGATTTAAATTTTTATCCATAGAAATTTTGAAAATAATACTCATTGGGAAAAATTGGATATGAATCAAATGTCTAAAAATAAGAATAAGTAAATATACTATGGCATAGCCAAAAAATGATTTACAAGAATATTTTACCTAGAATGAAGCTCAAGGTGTAAAAAGCTTCCAAGTAGGTTAGAAAAATAGTATTAGTTAATAGTATGATCTATTAGTTTGTTGTAAAGGGTAAATATGAGTATAGATAGACATAGACAATTTATTATGGAAGGAAATGAACCTAAATGTTGATGGTAGTTGATACTTACTTGGAGGTTTTATGACCATGTTTTCCCTATTCTCACAACTGTTTTTGACAGTAAACAATTGGAGCCAGTTATTTTAAAAGTATGTTCATGCAGGCAGTAACACAGAAGCATGAATTTTTACTATAAGATAGAAACACATTTATTTTGAGTCAAGGTGGTAATCGCCCATATGGTACCACGGTCATTGTAAAATTATATCATTGGTTTTAATGACATTTTGGTGACTAAACTTAATTCCTAATTGTTGTCATTTTTTTTAATGATTTGGCAAATATTTTGTTATGCAGTGTATCATTTAGTTGGTGCAAGACATTAAGAGTAATATTGAAAGAGTACTATTGTTTCCTTATAAGAAATACTAAATTTTAATCAGAAATTATTCAGACCTGTCTCCCTAGCAGACTTACACATTTAGTCGATAAACTTTTGTAAAAAAAAAAAAAAAACCCAAAAAACTATATGTGGGAACAATTTCTAAAATGTTTTAGAAATGAAAACAGTACAAATAATGCCAATGTATATCCTTTATTTAGCTTCAGTGATTGTTAACATTTTATTCTATCTGCTTTGTGATTGTCATTATCCCTACTACTCGCATTGTCTCTTTACCTTTCCACACATGCAGACACATATGCACAGGTTTTTCTTTCTGAAAAAAATTAGGGTGAATTGCATTTCGAAAGAAATAAGCAAAGCAGTTATCAACTTCATAGGTTTACTTTTACGTATTACTTTTATTTGAACTACCACTACCCATATTACAATTTTGCCAAGTAACCTAATAATATCCTTTACATTTTCCCCCTTCAGTACAAGATTTGATCTAGAGTTAGATATTTTGTTTAATTGTCATGTTTTTAAGCTTCTTTTAATCTGGAATATTTCTATAGCCTATCTTTTCTCTTTAAAAACATTGACACTTTGAAGAATATAGTCGTTTTTTACTTTTTAAGTAGAGTGATCCTCATTTGTTCTGCCTCATGTTTGTTCATGATTGACTTCTGCTCATGCATCCTTGAGTATAATACTATATAGGTCCTGTTTTGTTTTAATCACCTCAGTAGGCACTTAATGTCCATCTGTCCTTCACTAGTGATACGAATTTCAAATATCAAGATGTTTCCCATTTTTTTGCAGTATAATTACTGGGTTTTTTTGGGTAATAATAAGCTATCTATGTGGAGATACCTTAAGATCATGCAGATACCTCTTCCTTCAGAATTTTCTTTTAGATTTAGCATACATTGATGATTCTTGCCTGACACAGTTTTTACCATTATGGTTACAAAATGATGATTCCAATTCTAGCTCTTTCTTCATATTTGTATTTGGCCCTCAGCATTCTACTGTAAGCAAGAGTCCCACTCCATCTGTCCATCCATCCATCCATCCATCCATCCATCCATCCATCCATCATCTAATTATCCGTCATTGGTATGAACTTATGAATTGTGTTTTCTGAGTATTTTGGATTTGACATTCTAAAAAATCTTTCCAGCTGGGGAGAGTGTAGCTCTCTTGGGGTTAGCCAGTTCCTAAAGATAACAAGCCCAGCCAGGAATATGTCTTCCCTATACCCTAGGAGACAATATTCCTCTGCCTTCATCATCTCAGGGCCAGGTACCAGACAACTAGAGACCACTCCTATAGCCCACAGCCCACCAAAATTATTTAAACTAGTCAATCCTAAAGTGTTTACTCTGCCCTGCATTGCCTTTCCTATGCAAACTCCAAAAACGAGAGTGGCTTAACTTCCCTTCACTTGTATCTTCTGCCACCTGACCACTCTGGCATCTCTCCCATGTGACCCTGCATGGTGTAGCATGCCTCTTGTTTCTAGGAGACCTGTGAGTATAATCAACCTTGTTTTCATCTGATCTCCTATGTCTTCTGTCCTGGCTGCACCTAATTGATGTCTTGTAAAAGAATACAAGACATGTTTTTCCTCTGGTGGTTTGTAATTTACTGCTATTCTGAACTATTATGGTACTAAAATTGTTATAGATTTGACTAGTGAGAGCCTCTTCATGCTGGCCCCTATGTTCTTGTGACATCTTTCCATCATTTTTCTTTTAAGTATTTTCTTATTTTATGACACAACAATTTATTCCAGGCTCATTTTGTATCTACCTATCTGTTTTGCCCAGCACTCAATTAGTCATCTCTTCTAGGAGTCCTGCTTTGTTTTAGTAGGGAATGTTATTGGAACCAGGATAGGTATACACATTAGAAGTCATGAGTTCAGACCAATTAGATCTATTTCTAAAAATAGTCTTCATGTTTTAAAGGATACCATCAAAAAAGTAGCCTACAGAATGGGGGAAAATATTTGCAAATAATTTTTCTATAAAATACTTATAGCTGGTGTGTCTATCTGTATGCATGCACATATATATATATATATATATATATATATATATATATATATATATATGTATATATGACTCTTACAACTTAAAAAGAAAAAGCCCAATTAAACATGGGCAAAGGATCTGAATGGGCATTTCTTCATGGAAAAGATACAAATAGCCAATAAGTACATGAAAAGATGCTCAGCATTGTTAGTCATCAGGGAAGTGCAAAGTCATTTTACATAGCCATTATGTTTTAAGGCATATATTTTCGACTCAGAATGTAAGTAGTGCTAGTGCCACATGTGAAAATGTGGGTGGCACGTTTCTGAGTTCTCTGTGTTGAAAATTACGAGGACTGGAATATGATCAAGAGAAAAATTTTATTTTTCTTTCACTTTTAAAATTTCCATTGCATTTTTGCAGATTCGGGTTTTCAGACCACCCAACTACTCTGGTACCATTGCTTTGGCCCTGTTAGTGTCACTTGTTGGAGGTTTGCTTTATTTGAGAAGGAACAACTTGGAGTTCATCTATAACAAGACTGGTTGGGCCATGGTGTCTCTGGTATGTTAATACATTGTGCTTTTTTTTTTGTTTCCTATTCTTTGTATAATAGTATAAGTTGTATAATATTAACAAAATGAGCAAGATTATAACTATAATAGAACTCAAGTCTGAAAGAGAAGTAACTTTTTTGAACTTGGATAATATAGTTTGAGTTTTCTGTCAGCCAAAACTATGCTATCTTCCTTCAACTTTTCACTGCTAAAATGTACTGTCCCTCTTTGCTTTGCACAAGTGCTAAATAAATACATGTTGAACACATCTAGAGATATGGTAAGACTTGATCAGAATTAATAGCTCAGATTAATTTGCAAGTGGTTTGGAAATTCAGCTATTTCTGAATTTCTTATTCAGCTATTCCTTTTCTGACAACTATTTCTTGTGTATCTTCTATGTGACTGATATTTGTTAGATACTGGGGATATAAATTTGAGAAATACACTCTGCCTATGAGAAATGCATTGTGGGGATACAGAGTAATCAACAAATGGAGTATAAGGTTATGTGTGCTATGATGGCAGTAGGTAACAGAGTATTATAGGAATACACAGGAAAGAAACCTAACCTAGAGTAAAGGGAATCATGACAGGCTTCCCAGACTGTGACAAGAGCTGAATTCTGTAGAACAAAATGAAATTCTAAAGTCGTTAAGGCCGAGTGTTCAACGTAAGTGAAGCCTGGGATATTCGGAGAACTACAGTTGTGTGGGGCTACAGCAGTGATGGCAAGGTAGGAGGGGGAAGAGATGACATTAGAATTCAGCAGTTCCCAGCTCACAGCCACTAGACAAAAATCGTTAGGATTTTATACACAAAACAATTCAGGTATAATTGAAAATAAAATCTCTTTCACAATAGGAAGGAAAAATGTACGGTACTTAAAAATAAATCTAACAGAGAATGTATGAAATACTTATAAAAATGTTGAAATTGAGACTAGATACATATATGTAGATAAATACATTATATATTATGTCAGTGTATATCTGTTATAGATAAGTATGGTCTAATATAATAAAATGTTATTTTAAAGACATAATATATTATAACTACATACAATGTGTTATATCTATAATAACATAATAGATTGTTTACAGCTAATTGTCAGTTTGTTTCTTTTGCTTTCTGGCAGTAGCCCTTCCTCGTTCCCATTTTATTTTTACCAAAAAATTAGGGGTCTTGATGACTAAGTTGGAAGTGATAGGACAGACTGAGAAGCAGCCCAGGCAAGAGTCACCTTGAAGCAATTTCATTTTCTGCAGTAATACCTAGAGCTTAGAAATTCAGACAGAACCTCTGTGGCTTTCTAGTAGATAGTTAAAATACAAATTAGATGTTTGGCCTTTTAAGAGCAAGGAAGATAAGATTTTTTTTTAAGGAAAGTTTCTTGATATTGTTTTCTCACTTTTGATGAATGAGTTAAAATGGATTAATTAATTGTACTGTATTTAAAGTTATTGGACACTACGGGTGATCTTAATTACCTTAGTCATTAAATTAAAAAATGTGTTGGCTTTTTTGCATGCTAGTTTTCAAGTTGCTTCACTCAGTAAAGCTACCCAGGTTTCTTGGTAAAAATGCAGTACTTTCACTGTGTCCCTGAGAAATTAAAACTTCTTTGGTATTTAAGAGTTAATGTCACATCAAATCTTCTCACTGTTTTAGTCTACCAAAAATTGATATAGTCTCATCTCTGAATTACATTCAAATAACATTAACATACTTACATTATTCTTATTCCTCAAGAAGAGGCCCAGAGCTATTGCATTGTAAGCTAGTAATAATTGGCATTACTCTTTAAGGATCTCTTTCTTCTTTGGGGTATGCTTCATAACTGTGCAGAGGAATTTATATTGGCCTCATTTATAAGAAAGGAAACAAAGATTCAGTAATCTCAACTTGCAAAAGCTTATGTAGCTAGAAAGCGATTGAGCTGGGATTTGATCTTACTCATCTGATTGCAAGTTCTGTATTGTTGACACGAAGCTGGGCTTCTTTAAATCTGGACATGTATCTTATATGTTGGTCATTCTACTCAGTAGATACAATGAGCCATTATGACTGCAAATAAATTCATAGAGGAACATTTATACGATATATAGATATTAAATACTTCAGTTGATCAATTTTCTTGAAAACCTCTGCTATGTTATACAGATTTATTATTATTATTATTTTGCTGTTTTACTGCGAATCTTGGAAAGTGAATTAACTTGGCATGGAGGAAGATAAATTCCAAGATAATCTTGGCAAGTATGCCTACTCCCCAGTCACAGCCTTTTAGAAGTCAATAACAGGCTGCAGAGAACAGACATGTTTTCAAACAGTGTGTTTTAAAACACTACCCTGATAATATAAGGTTAAACAACTTTTGTAATACTTTTCTACATCTCTTCCAGTTTTTCTCATTAATACAGAAATACTTCTGTTTGATAGTCTTTGGAAACACTTTAAATTATTTAAACAATGAGATTAAATATTTAATATATAAATTACATTATATATTTTATGTATATAATTTATATAATTTGTATTACATATATGTATATATAAATATGTAATTTGGGTCTTCTTTACCATTTCTGCCTGATAACACCACCATTACCATCACCACCAAACTTGATTGTTGCTTATAAATTGAAAAACTGAATTTGTTCAAATGCAATTTTTCTTATCCTACTTTTGAGGTTTCCTTAGAAAGTTAAGAGATTGTCCAAAATGCTGCCCTATTCATTCAGATTCTCAAACATTTGCCTATTTAAAATAACTAATATCTCATTTTTCCTTGAAAGTAAGGAAAAAAATATATATTTTTAAATTTGCCAAAATATTGTCATCTGACTTATACAAACTCTGATGAAAGCCTTTGACTGGACAGTAAAAGGACAGCTCTTAAAATAAAACAGTAATGAGCCATATAAGAGTAGATAACTTCCATAGAACAACAAAAAAAAAGTGTGCAAAGGAAGGGAAATGAATGAGAGAAATGTCTGCTACAGAATCTCTAGCCCCATGCTAACTTTTTAGTAAAGAAAAAGTCTAGGTACAGTTAGCAGTGGTGTCTTTTAATCATTTAACCTATACAGAAGTACTTGCAAGGAAAATTATTTACTGTTATGAGCACTTAGTCCTGGGTAGACTGTATTCTAAGGCTGGTATTATTTTTTCTTTTTTTACTGTGTTATTTTATTGTATGTGACTTAAAGGTAGGATAAGAATGCAGTGTATGCTGAGGGAGAGGAAGTTATCATATGCTTTAGGGTGTAGGATGGAGACAGGTTGCAATTTTCTGAAATAGGAAATTAATATATGTAAATATTAATATATGGAAGTAATAATATGTACAAATATATTACTTTGCAATATATTTAAACAATGAGATTAAATTTGCAGTATATTGCAATATATTGCAAAGCAATATGTGCAAATATTAAAACATACATATATGTTAGAATTTCCTGGTTCTGAGTTTTAAAAAAGAGCTACAGGTATTCATAACTAAATCTTCCTGGTCTCATGCTTTCTAAGGGGGAAAAATTTTTATTAACTACTATTTATAGATCCTGATGATTGTTTGTGGAACAGAATATGTATCATTGATTGGTTCTGCTTTCACTCCCTTCTGCCTTCCCTCACCCCCTAAACATGGAGGATGATGGACAATAAGCATATGCATTACTGGCTTTATGATAAATTTAAAGTAGAATTATTGAGTAAAATATTGAAATATACTAGTACATAATTTCAAAGATTGTAGCATAGATACGTAGTTTATGGTCTTGGGAAAACAATATTGACTTGGAACCAAAATGAGTTAAAATAGTATGTTTTGTAGCCCATAATGAAGATGTTCATGGCAACCTAAAGGTCTTCATAGGTTACTGTCATTTCAAGCCAGAAAATATTAGTAGGATAAGTAGTAACATTCATTTTGAACCCAGGAAAATATCCTAAGGATGTGCTCCTAAAAGCATGAAAGATAAAGCATCATTAAAATAATCTAATAACACAATCTTATTATCACAGTAAATCACCATAGGATAGAAGCTGTTTTCTACCTTTTAATACTGTGTATTGTAGGATGATTCATATACCCTCATGTTTCTGTTGCCCCAAATAAATTATATCATTTTAATTAATTTTTTTGAAATCTTTAGCATTGGAGATTACTATACAGCATTATACAATATTTACATTCATGAAAGGTACTTTGGCATGTACTCATTGTGATTTATCAGTAGAAATTTATTTCTTGTGACCATTCAAAGCTACAGATGACTTTAAGTTCAGATGGGGATAGAAAAGGGTCTTTTTTCATCCAAATTTATTTGAATAAAATTACATAACTTTTATTATATACATATGATCTTTATTTTGTTCTCTTTAAAAATGAGAAGCAAATAATTTCTGATAAAATTTTTTTCAATAAAGTAATGTTGTTTTTGGATGGCCCCAAACAGTTTTGCTCATCAGGCGACTATGTCATTTGGCCATTTGGAGTTAGTTATGGTTTTTGCAAACAGGTATTTCTATGTGTAGCCATTTGTGTAGAGTTAGGAAAACAGAAAATAAAATGAATTCGTATATTTTTAGGATATACTTAATATATCTAATTCTTAATTTTCTGTAGTAAGAGGAAGCCTTGGCCTCAGTAACTCAAAGTACATTTTAAAATTACTTATATATGGATAGATTTTAGCATTTGAATGTTGTTGGCTGAGTCTTTGCTTATCTTAATATAAAGTCACAATTAAATAAGCCTCACTGCGAAGTTCCATGCATGGATCTACTACACTTCATGCACGGCTCATCTCCTTAATCCAACTCAATAGGGGTTATAAATACTTGTTGAAATTGTTATCCTCAATGCATAATTTCCTTTCCATGGAATTAAAGACTTAAGCTTTTTTTTTGTTGCTGTTGCTGAAATGACCGTAAAGATACTTCCCACCTTTCCTTTCTTTTTTTTTTTTTTTTTTTTTGCAATGAATGCAGTATATC